CTACATGTCCTCCTTTTTGATATTTGAAGACTAATCTGCAGGGCTTTTTTTTTTCTCATAGAACACTCAGAACGGCGTTCCGGCACCTTTTTTGATGTTTTTTTTCAACTTTTGCATGAGCTGTGCTACTCCCCCTATTGGCTTTCGAAAGCCAATAGGAATTGCTTCTGAGCGCGCCAAAACACCCGGCCGGCAAACTTTGCACATATAAGTTGTCTGCAGCGAAGGCGAATTGGCAGGAACTTTGCACTCCTCCCTGCTACCCAACTACACCATCTCCTAGTTAGTCCTGAAGATACCTGAGGAGACTGGAGCGGCAAAGCCATCGTAACTTTCTCTTGATCTTCGGCCCTGCTAGGACAATAATGGCTGCGGGTGGCGGGGCTGCTGCGGGCAGGAGTGTGAGGGGCAGTGGTGGCCGGCTGCCCCCCCTGCTGTGGGAGCGGTGGGGCCTGCTCTACACGGGGCTGTGTAGGGTGGGCGGTAGTGCTGGCGGGGTTGCTGCAAGCGGGGTATGTTGATGGCGGGCTGCCTCCTGGGGCTGGAGCTGGTGCAGCTGATGCTTTGGGAGCCGTGGGCCCCGCTCTACACAGCGGGGCAGCAATGCAGGTGGGGCGGCTGCAGGCGGCGCGGCATGTAAGCATAATTACAATATAAAATGTTATTGTTACAAATGTTTTTTATTATGCATTTATCATATTATAGTGTATTCTGTATTATTGTTGCAATGAATAAAATGTTTCTTTTATTTACGATATTTTTTTCTTCAATTTATTTGTCCTCCTTTTCATTGTAAAAAAATTGGTCACCTTAACGTATAGTATGTGCAAATAAAATGTTGATACAGTTTAGATATGATCAATTAGCATGGCTTAAAATAGCTAGAATTAAAGAAATCCTAAACAACCAATATGTAATAGAGGAATTATATAGTAATTCTTTCTAAAAAAATACTGATAGTATTACTTTAATAGGAGGAATAGTACTAAAATGTGAAGTCAGTCTGTTTTGATGAAGGAGCCATATAACCACATGATGGTGCTATAACATGGCAAGAAATCATAAATCATTTCTGGGTACATTTTTAGCTCAGAGAACTACATGCATCACTTGTTGGCAGCTCAGAGGCTGTAGATGAATATGCGTGTTCTCATTCCGCACTGCCCCACCCCAAGCACAGTTTAGTCTCCTAAAGCCTCATGCATTTCACTACCTACCTGGTATCTATGCCTTTTCCTCTGCTTTCTTTATTTTCCCATTCCTTCCCCTACAAGTCACTCTGTCTTTCCAAAACTGGATGAGATATCTTGAAGTGCATCTTGGTGAAGAGAGTTTACATGTTTGTAACTAAATCTATACTAACTGTAGGTGCAGCAGTATTTTTTTTCCCCTGAATATGGCTTAGGGTGAACATAGAGCATAGAACAGGACTAGTATTGGACTGTTGCCACAGACTACAAAAAAAAATTATTTAAACCATTATGTTTATGTTTAGTAATTAGCCATCACTTTAATAGCATTGAATGTAGTTTAGATTTCATTGATATTTAAATTTGTCTTCCAAATTTTTTCCACCAAAAAAGCTCAAAGTAACCTAAGGGAGATATATAAATAATCACTAGCAAGCATGTATTTTAAGAAAAAAAATAACAAAAAGAGCATTTAATTTATTTAAATTTTACTGAAGGCTAAAAATCAAGTAGTAATGGAACCATGTACTTTGGAATTACAAAGCTATATTTGAGGATGAAGGACTTTTTTACATATATAATTGCTGTCTGCATATTTTAAGAGAGTAGTTATATTGCTACCCAATAGATTTTGGTGAATTCTGATATTCTAGTATGAAGAACCTAAAATATATGAATGTAACATATTAGGTACTGAGCAATTAATAATTGATGTTATATTGGTGATGTGTCACTTTGAATTTCTTTATTTAAATAACAATTTAGGAAAAAACAGTTAGAAAGTGGAGGTGGTCACAGGATCAGACAACCAAAGTCATTCTATTCCTGATATATAAAACTTATTTCAAACTTTATTAATTCTTAATATGGTTTGGTTTAGGATTAGTGTTTTATGTGAACCAGAACTATGGTTTATGATTTCAGCCTGCTGTGTAGATTGTTCAATAAACCACGAATAGGGATCAGTTGGGATTCTTACTATTGTAGTAGCCTCCTTGTTGTGTGGCAACCTCCCTGAAGTCCTGGGGGACTTCAGTCTGACTTCCATGGAAGTGAGGTAAGAAATAGTTCAGAAATTCATGGCTACCATGACAGGCATAGGCTGTTCCAGTTCTTCCAGGGTCCAACAGGCATTAGTGATTTAATGCCAAGCCTGATTTTTCTGTCAGAGCAGCGGCAATGTGATTTGGAGCTGGGGGAGTTATCTATTGCTTCCCTATGATGGTTAGATCTCTTTGTGGAATATCATACCTCCAGAAGTTGGATTGACCCAGATTCTACCTGCCTTCTTTAAGACAGGAGTCCCCAACCTGCTGGTCGCGGCACCACTACTGGGCTGTGACCTCCTGGCCATTGGGCTGCGGGACAGGCTGGCCAGTGCACACATGTGTGTGCCTGCACTCATCCCCACTCGCACTAGCGCTGTGGCTGCGTGACCTAAACCGCTCCATGCAGCCTAAACGGGGCTCCACAGGGCAAAAATGGGGCTCTATGGGGCAAAAATGGGGCTCTGTAGGGCAAAAATGGGCTCCGCGGAGCGAAAATGGGGCTTCACAGGGCAAAAATGGGGCAGGGCTAATGAGTGTCACGTGGACACTAGCACTGACCCATTTGCATGACATGCATGCTTGCGGCCCCGTTTGTGCGCATGTGCGCATAAAATACTTCCCTTTCTCTCCAGTCTGCCAACCGAGAAAGGTTGGGGACCTCTGCTTTAAGGATTTAAAAACTTGGCTGTGCTACTGGTCGTGGGGATCTAGAAGTAAATTGCGCAGTGGTTATGCTGAATATAGATTGTTTTAAAATCCTGGATTTTGTTAATTTAATTGTATTGGTTTTATATATTTTAAAACTATGATCTGATTGTGTTTTTCGTAGTTTTAAAATTGTTGTAAGACACATTTTTGCACAGACAAAAATGAAATCTGGTGGTTTATGAAGTTTGCTTTTTATGATATTAGTACGTGTTAAATTGATTTCAGGTACACTGTTCTAATTTTTATCTAAAGATAAATCTATGACTGTAAACAAGCAACCACCTACTCCTACACAGAAAGTAGCAGTTTGGAAAGTAAAATATCCTTTTTTAAAACAAACTGTTAGCTTATTACAGAAAGTCTATTTTAATGATGACTGAAGTACTGGAGAGTTTGCTTATGTAGCTTTCTGTGTTATGTTTCAATTTTGATTTTTTTTGTGTGACATAAAATCCTTATTGGAATTTCTGCTTCTGTATATTTTGTATCTTCTCAGAACGGGAGCCTACTGTCAAGCATTACAGATCTATTCATTTTTCTTAAGTGAGGGAAAAGACTCATGATCCATCCAATGTCCTTTAATCTCATTTAAGAAGCCAAACCTGTTGATCAAGAAGGAATACAACTTGCCAACTGTCCTTTCATTTTATGATGTGTTTGTAATTTACTTGTTCTTTGTTCCTTAATATAAGGTACATCAACACTTTTATTTGTTGACCTATAAATAGGCCTCAGCCTATGGTTCCATATCCTAGGCCACAGGTCGGCAACCTGCGGCTCCGGAGCCGCATGCGGCTCTTTGAGCCTTCCCCTGTGGCTCCCAGCCTCCTCTGCCTTTGCAGAGAGAGACAGAGAGAGGCAATTGCACTTCCCTGCTTCTCTCTCTCTCTCTGTGTGTGTGTCTCTGTGTGTGTGGGTGGGTGTTTTGTGTGTGTCTGTGTGTATGTGTAAAAGAGAGTGCGCTCACAGTGTTCTCCGAGGAGCTCAAAAGCTTTCTGGGCGGAGCTCCTCCTTTTGCTGCCTCTCTGAAGGAAGCAGGAAGCAGGAAGGGCAGGAGAGAGCTAGCTAGCCCAGCTAGGCTGACTCAGGAATTCTGGGAGTTGAAGTCCATGAGTCATAAAAGAGACGACGTTGCCTACCCCGGAGGCTGTTGGACAACAGCTTGAAGCTTGCCAGGTGAGCAGCAGATAGGAGGGAGGGGGGAGAAAGAGAGAGAGAGAGAAAGAGAGAGATTGAGAAAGAGAGAGAGTGGGGGAAGAGGAGTGGCAGACCAAGGGCAGATAGAGAGGGAGGGAGAGAGAGACCCTTTTGACATCTAAAATGAAGATAACACTGCATATATCCTTTTTTTACCTGTGTGTGTATGTAATTTTATTCTCTGAAAGCATTCTCTTGGTGATCATTGTTTTAATAGTATGGATATTCCCAAGAGTCATATTTTTACTTTTATTTTTAGTGTGTGTGTGTGTGTGTGTGTGTGTGTGTGTGTATATATATATATACACACACATACACACATACACACACACACACATACACACACCTATAATAAAGGTAAAAAAGGATATATGCAGTGTTGTCTTCATTTTAGATATCAAAAGGGTTTTGCAGCTCCCAGTGTTTTGTTTTTGGTGGGAAACGGGTCCAAGTGGCTCTTTGAGTGTTTTGGGTTGCCTACCCCTGTCCTAGGCAATGATCAAATATATTTAAGTACAAAAGTAATGAGATTTCATGTTGCCTAATGTCTACAATGTGCACTGATAAAGGAACGCACACTATCACAATTGTATTAATGTAAATGCACTATGCATGTTGCACAAATCAGACAAGGAATGTTCTAAAACTCCTGAAATGTATTTAGAGGAACGGGATCAGTACATTGATGTATATTTGTTGACACATATTTGAATGTAGTAAAAGAATCCAGGTTTTAATGCTAACTGCTGATGCAGACCCTAAAAACCTAGAAGTGCTTAAGTTATCATAACATGATGGTTTTACTACTACTCTGTGGGGTAGATTCAGAATTATTTACAGAGTTGAAACTCTCTGCTTTGTAATTAAATCTGCATTCATTTTATTTAACCAGAAAAAAACAAAAAATATAAATACTGTATATACAGTATGTTTAATTGAATACAATATGTATTTAATCATCTGAACCCAGCTAGATGACGGTGACAATATTGAAAAGGTGAAGTTAATATTTAAATAAAAAACCCTCTAAAAATTCCAGGGCTATAAGTTAAAATTCTATATTGTTATCAAGAAAACTACATAGATGTACGATATCTGTGAAGTCATCATGAGTTTAGGTTTTTTTAAAATTCATATTTCACACAAGTAAAGCATTGGATTGCATTGCCAGTAGCACAGAAAATGGCACATTTCTGAATCCCATAGCTCTGACAGTATAATTCAGAATATTTTTAAAGAAAAGCCACTAGAAGATCTGAAAAAAATATTACATAGCATCAAAATTGTTTTATTAAGGAGCTATTGCTTAATTAAAATATTAGAATACCAAGTGTATAATTCACACAAGAGATTTCTATTATTAGCCTTAAATATCTGTCCATCCATGCATCCATCCATCCCATCTATTCTGTTCTAGTTTTTCATTAACACTGTGACATTTGTTTTAGAAAAGAAGGTTCTGGCTATCACATACATAATATTCAGCCTTAAGTAGTGCTCTTGTAAGTTAATTATCATGAATGTAAATGAAATTTAGTTTTCAAAGTGGCTTAGGATGGCCAGCCTAATTAGTTTGATAATAAGTTCATACTTAATACCTGGTGTGAACATTATTCACCTTTGAGACATATCTAATGTCTATAACTATACTAATTTCCCAGTAATTGTTTCCATACATCAAGAACTCAAGCATGTAATGTCCATTGTCTGAACTACAAATGTAAGAATTGAAATTAAGCCTTTTCTATTGGATTTTCTCCTTGATGATCTTCACTCAGTTCTTTATCTTGGTGGATTAGTTCTACTCCTTGTTCTTGCTTATCTGTCAGATGTTCAACTTTCAATTTGTTATCTTTCAGTCTTTTTTTATACATTTTCTTATGTTGTCCCTGTGTGATGATAAATGATTGTAGTTAAATATAGCTTCATTTTCTTAAGACAGAAAGATGGATTTTCAACTATCTTTGCAAATTTTGCAAAAGTTAAGTACTCAGTTATTTTAACTCAATTAACTTTATTATTTTAATACAAATTCTATTACTATAACAAATTCTATTACTATAACAGTTGCAAGATTTGACAATATTGGTCCTTTTCTGGTTGCTCAGACTTGTTGAGACCTTGTCCCAATGCTCTTTAATTTATTTTAATTGAACTACAATTCAGCTGAATGTATTGGTATTCACAGGTATGGGAATTACTTACATTGTTGTCTCTGCTTTCTTGCAAAAGTTTCTGTCCCTTGACTCAGGAATGTATGCTTTAGAAATGTTTTGAGATTTTGGATTAATGTGAAGCAGACATAGTATTGCAACTTCAAATTTATTCCTTCAGGCTATTTGTTGCATGAAGATAAAAGACTTAAAATCCTTTTGAAGGAAAGTGCCTTTCCATGCTTCCAACATCTAAGAATTGCTTCTGTTGATCTTTAAATCAGACCAGGATTTTAGGTATTACTTGGGTACATAAAATCTGACCTTAGAGGGATGGGAAAAGCAAGTGGATTGCATAATTTTAGTGCTAGCGGTATGTTATTTTGGACAGAAAGAAAAAAAGACAACATTTTATATAAAAATATTGATTGATTTTCTATTTGAAAACTGGAGTCCTATTCTCTTAAGCACACTAAAATGTATATATGTGCAAGTTCCTATGTGTGGACCTTCACATGACCAGTCAGTGGATTCATTCCAAACCTGGACACCATGCCTATATCAGTTTGAACTGATTTGAAATGTTTCCTTAATGAGAGGCTCAAAAGGACCTATGGATTACCAAAAATAATACCATGAAGCAACAATTATTTTCGTATGCATACTGTACAAAATATGGTCAATACTGAAAGGATTGTTTGTTCATTGGTCCTTTTTCCATTTGGTACTTTACTTCTTTTCTCCGACCTACGGTGTTCTTTCTCATGCTTTAGAAAGTGTCCACCCCATTCTCTTCTCTAGCAGGAATGTCTGCCTCATTTTCATTTCATTCCACACAAAGTTTCCACTTTGCTAGCATTTAGTGAGTTAGAAAACATAAAATTATCCTTTACAGATTGTAGAAAGGAGAAGACAGAGAAGACGTGCAGCCTAAAATCCTAAAAGACCAAGCAGCTAGAAAAACCGTTCGGCAGTTGAAGGGCCAGGGAGGGCACAGGAAGGCCTGACTCTAGCCTGAAAGGGCAGAATCAAGAAGAACATGCATGTTGCCTTGATCTTTGAAAGAAGATCCAAACTTAAAAAATAAGAAATCTACAAATGAGACAAATTTGTGCCTATGTATTATATGAATGTGTCTGTGTATATATGTGTGTGTGTGTGTGTGTGTGTGTGTGTGTGTGTGTGTGTGTGTGTGTATTTGTTTTCTGAGGTTTTCGCGGGTGTTTGTATGTAGGTCTTTGGTTGTTCGGGTTTTCTCCCGCGTAAAATTGGAAGTGTCTTGGCGACGTTTCGACGAAGTCCCATTCGTCATCTTCAGGCTGGTGTTTTCAGCTTCGTGCTTCGAGCAGCAATGTGTGGTCTTAGCTGTTTCTTCCTTTTAACTGCCAGTGGGGGTATGAACTGATTGGGTGGGAGCTTGGCTGTGTTCTGATTGGGTGGAGGTGTGTTCTGATTGGTTAGGGGCGTGGCTGTGCTCTGATTGGCTGGGGGGTTGGCTGTGCTCTGATTGGCTGGGGGGTTGGCTGTGCTCTGATTGGTTGGGGGAGTGTTCTGTTTGGTTGTGCTCAGGTTAGTCTGAGTTGCAGAGGGGTTTAAGATTTTGGGCTGCCTTGCTATTTTTTGGCTTCGCGTTTGTGGTCGTGCCTCATTTTCATGGAGGGTGTCAGTTTGCTTCATGTATGGATTGGAGGGCTTTAAAGTGGCTAATGATGCAGCTCTGGTCTGGCTTCTGGTTTGTGGTCGTGCCTCATCATCGGTGTGGCTTTGGGTTTGCTTTTTGCATGGATGTGTGGTGGTGACATCCTGTGTGGTTTTTGTGAGTGTAGGTCTGGTATCATTTTTTGTGTTAGGGAGTCGTTTGTCAATAAGGGCGGGTTTCCAAATGGCTGGTAAGCGGGAGGTATCATCTCGCTTGTTCATGCTGTGTGGGCATTTTTCTATCTCGATGGCTTCTCTGATTATTCTGTTATTAAAATGTTCACTTTTGGCAATGGTTCTGGTATTTTTAAAGTCAATTTCATGTCCTGTGGCTTTAAGGTGTTCGACCAGGGAAGATGTTGGTTCCTCTTTTTTGACTGAGTTCTTATGTTCTTCAATGCGTGCACTTATTCTTCTGTTGGTTTGTCCGATGTATGTGGTGGGACAAGTGGTGCATTGGATTTCGTATACTCCTTGATTTTCTAATTCAATTTTATCTTTGGGGTTTATAAGGATGGTGGATATTTTTCTGTTTGTGCAGAATGCTGTTTTGATGTTGTGTTTATGGAGGATCTTACTGATTCTGTCTGTGGTGCCTTTTATGTATGGGAGGAGGGCTTTGCCGTTTTCTTGTTCTTCGTCTTGGATTTTAGTGGGGGTTTCTTTTTGGATTAGGTTTGTAATCTTATTTCTTTGGAATCCATTGGATGTTAGTACATTGGTGAGAGTGTGTAGTTCGGTTTTTAGGTGTTGTTCGTCAGCTAAGCGTTTTGTTCTGGAGATGAGTGTCTTGGCTACAGAGTTGATCTGTGCTGGTGGTGGTGTGAGAGAGCGTGCAGATAGCGGTTTGTGTGTGTTTTCTTCTGGTAGATGGTGTGTCCTAGGGAGCCATTGGATTTCTTGTAGACTAAGACATCCAGGAAGGGAAGTTGGTTGTTAGCTTCTGTTTCCATGGTGAACTGTATTTTGGGGTGTAGGCTGTTGAGGTGTGTGAGGAAGTTGTCCAGTTTTTCTTTCCCATGTGGCCAGATTATGAAGGTGTCGTCTACGTATCTGAGCCAGAGTTTGGGTTTGTGATCCGATTTTTCTAGAGCTTGGGTTTCAAAGTGTTCCATGTAGAGGTTTGCAATGACAGGTGAGAGGGGTGATCCCATGGGTGCTCCTTCTGTTTGTTTGTATTTTTGTCCATTAAAAAAACTCATTCCAGTTTATAGAGATCATAAAGAAACAAAACTTACAGCCCAGTGACCTACTCGTGAGCTTCGATGTCATATCCCTCTTCACCCAAGTGCCTATCAAAGAAGCCTTGACAGCTATCCAAAACAAATATAACCCCCCCCAAACACATCTTAGATCTGACCAACCACTGCCTATCCAACACATACTTCATCTATAATGGACAAAAATACAAACAAACAGAAGGAGCACCCATGGGATCACCCCTCTCACCTGTCATTGCGGAACACTTTGAAACCCAAGCTCTAGAAAAATCGGATCACAAACCCAAACTCTGGCTCAGATACGTAGACGACACCTTCATAATCTGGCCACATGGGAAAGAAAAACTGGACAACTTCCTCACACACCTCAACAGCCTACACCCCAAAATACAGTTCACCATGGAAACAGAAGCTAACAACCAACTTCCCTTCCTGGATGTCTTAGTCTACAAGAAATCCAATGGCTCCCTAGGACACACCATCTACCAGAAGAAAACACACACAAACCGCTATCTGCACGCTCTCTCACACCACCACCCAGCACAGATCAACTCTGTAGCCAAGACACTCATCTCCAGAACAAAACGCTTAGCTGACGAACAACACCTAAAACCCGAACTACACACTCTCACCAATGTACTAACATCCAATGGATTCCAAGAAATAAGATTACAAACCTAATCCAAAAAGAAACCCCCACTAAAATCCAAGACGAAGAACAAGAAAACGGCAAAGCCCTCCTCCCATACATAAAAGGCACCACAGACAGAATCAGTAAGATCCTCCATAAACACAACATCAAAACAGCATTCTGCACAAACAGAAAAATATCCACCATCCTTAGAAACCCCAAAGATAAAATTGAATTAGAAAATCAAGGAGTATACGAAATCCCATGCACCACTTGTCCCACCACATACATCGGACAAACCAACAGAAGAATAAGTGCACGCATTGAAGAACATAAGAACTCAGTCAAAAAAGAGGAACCAACATCTTCCCTGGTCCAACACCTTAAAGCCACAGGACATGAAATTGACTTTAAAAATACCAGAACCATTGCCAAAAGTGAACATTTTAATAACAGAATAATCAGAGAAGCCATCGAGATAGAAAAACGCCCACACAGCATGAACAAGCGAGATGATACCTCCCGCCTACCAGCCATTTGGAAACCCGCCCTTATTGACAAACGACTCCCTAACACAAAAAATGATACCAGACCCACACTCACAAAAACCACACAGGATGTCACCACCACACATCCACGCAAAAAGCAAACCCAAAGCCACACCGATGATGAGGCACGACCACAAACCAGAAGCCAGACCAGAGCTGCATCATTAGCCACTTTAAAGCCCTCCAATCCATACATGAAGCAAACTGACACCCTCCATGAAAATGAGGCACGACCACAAACGCGAAGCCAAAAAATAGCAAGGCAGCCCAAAATCTTAAACCCCTCTGCAACTCAGACTAACCTGAGCACAACCAAACAGAACACTCCCCCAGCCAATCAGAGCACAGCCAACCCCCCAGCCAATCAGAGCACAGCCAACCCCCCAGCCAATCAGAGCACAGCCACGCCCCTAACCAATCAGAACACACCTCCACCCAATCAGAACACAGCCAAGCTCCCACCCAATCAGTTCATACCCCCACTGGCAGTTAAAAGGAAGAAACAGCTAAGACCACACATTGCTGCTCGAAGCACGAAGCTGAAAACACCAGCCTGAAGATGACGAATGGGACTTCGTCGAAACGTCGCCAAGACACTTCCAATTTTACGCGGGAGAAAACCCGAACAACCAAAGACCTACATATATATATATATATATATATATATATATATATATATATATATATATATATGAAACTTAGCATCTGATAGGTAACTGTCACATTTTTCTTATTATTAAAATAAAGTGAGAGGTAGTTGAAATATTCACTCTCACAATCGATCTATCAATGCTGCAGGCAGGAAAAATTAATCTGGGTATTCCTTGGAGCACAGAGATGATCCATTTCTTCCTCCAGCTCCAAACATCCCATCATTCAGAGATTAAGGGCTTCCCCATGAAATCCATTCCAATGTAATCCCTGGTTATAAGCTTTGTACATTGAATTCTCTTAGTTGAATTTGTCACTGATATTTAATAGTAATTATATAGATTAAATTCATTTCATTTAGCAGCTTTCTGTATCCCACTTATTCATACTTTAATATATGTTTCATAAAATTTTCTAAATCCATCTCTTATAAACAAAGTGAGTTGCCATTACAGTCCACTAACTACCTGAACTAAGCATGGATTTAGCAAATGTTATTCAAGTTGTTAATGTCAGATACTGAAAATAAAATAAAATAAAATAAAAATAATATACAAGACAGGATACTTCAGTTCTATTATGGTTTTGACACCTCTCAGTTTTCCACGCTTACTGGAACTACTATGAAATTTTCCAGCTTTTATTAGCACAAGTTTTTTCTGCCCTAAAAACTGCAAGAGGTACAGCTTAGCAACAGAAGGCCTAGAGATACAGACCAACAGAACGGTGTGGTATGTATATAATTCACAACAGTAATTACCTTTTGAACCTGCAACTCACACAAGCTTTGAGGATATCTTGTAATACTACTCATGTAGTTTTTATTTTTTCGCCAATCTTCACTCCATTTCTGCATACTGTAGCAAGATTTACACTTTGAAATTCTTTCCAGAATGGCACAATTTTCTTGGTTTATTCTGAAAAATTCTTGCTCTCGTTTTTCTCTGTTTAAACTAAAAGGGGAAGGAAGCTCTGTGCAATAAATTAATCATTCAAGCATTAAAAGTGAAAGGCATTCTGTCCCATCTTCAAAATGTTAAATGAAAATCATTTCTTCTTACTGCTCTGTACTAATCACCTTCAGTTAATTGTCAAGAACTTAAACTGAAATCATGGCTCTCTTCTGTTACTGTTATATTGCTGTAGCTCATGCTATTGCTTATCTTCCATTATAACTAATGGAAGTTCTAATGTAAAGCATCTAAAATACTGCAAATTGGCAAGAGCTGAAATCCCCCTGCAAATATTAAACCTTTTTCTTGGGCTATTGAACTGAACTACTCATCAGGCACCTTCCCAGGTTTTAATATAATGAGCTTTAACTGATCTAATTATGTATATAGCATATAGTATCACCTTAATTAGGCTGGTAATTATCACCTAAATAGTTCTTATTTTTAATACTTATATATACTTTTTCAAAAAATTAATGAAGTGTGCAAAGTTACAAGATTAAAATGTGTATACATGCATATAGTACATAAAGGTAAAGCTTTTCCATGTCCGGTCGTATCTGACTCTAGGAGTGGTACTCATCTCTGTTTCTTGGCCTTCTTATGGCCATATGGCCATAAGGAATGCTGTTATATTCCCACTGAAGTGATACCTACTCTCATTTGCATGCTTTTGAAATGCTAAGTGGTCAGGAGCTGGGGCAAGTAACAGGAGCTCATCCTGCCATGCAGCACTCGGGTTTCGAACCTGGGCTGTTCTAGCTGATAAGCTCAGCATCTTTAACCACCGAGCCATTGTGCTCCTATACAGTACACAGCAACCAGCTTTAACATTAGAATGTCTTTCTTGATTTTCCCTGACTTAGCTCCCTAATATTCCTAATCTATAATTATAGTACTGTTACAATTGCAGTAGTGTCTCAATAGCATAGGGGTTATAATACAGTACTCAGAAAGTTACCAGTTTAAAACTTAGTTTTTTTCCCCCCTGAACTATCCTTTTTTTTTTTTTTTGCTGGGCTTTTTTATTGGTCCACAGATGCACCAGTGGAATGCTGAAGCTTTCTCTTTTTTTCCCTGGCACGAAATAAATGGAGTAATAAGTCCTCTGCTGTAAAGCGCAAGCAACCACAGCCACTTGTAAATAGCTTAAGTCAGCAACTTGATTGACTTCTGCATATATTACAAGAATCTCCCCAGATTCTTTGCCTTCTTCAGGAACAAGCAAATAAGGTTTCATGGATCTAGGGGAGGTGGGGAGGAGAGCAGGCTTAGATGCCTCTTGTAGCTGCACAAGGACTCAAGGCTAATTCCTTACTTGACCTCTCCTACCAGCCTGGCTGGCAGTTTCCCAACATCTGCAATGCTTATTCATTTAAGTTACTTGGAAGTTGGGATGAAACCCTTCTTCAACAAAAATGACGAAATGATGCAAGCTGTAGCTCAGGCAAATAAAATATTGATTTTTTTTTTAAAGGTACTGCTGGACTTCAAACCAATGGTCCTCTACATCTCAAGTAAATGATATAACCACTAACATATTTTTACACTGTTATAACAATTGCTGCAGCAGAAATTAGAAGTCAAATCTGGAAAAATGTAACATGTTTATTTTAGAGCTGATTGCTGTGTGATCTCTTAATTTTGTAAGCCACATAACATTTTTCAGAAAGTATACATGTCCAGTAACTATGGACTATGGGGAGGACACAGCCGGAAGGCAGAAGGACCCAGGTAGAATAATATTACAGGTATTACAACTAGATAATTGTTCATAATTTTTACTCCATACATTACCTTTTACTTTTATATTCATTTTTATTATCTACTCTTCCTTCAGTCTTCATGATGTAAGATATCTTCTTTAATAACAAATGGTTATCTCGTTCTATTGTAGACAAATGGTCCTTATCAAGCTTTAGGCATTAAAAAAAGAATATTTTTAATAGATCATGTTCTTATGTCCAATTAATATTTTTCGTCCCCCATCCCCATTAATGTTACCTATAGCACATAAATACAGGGGATTGTTCTTTCTTGAAAAAAACCCACTTTATATTGTATTAAAATTGGATTTTGGTAACACAGATAATTCTCAAGAATGTGGCTAACAATAAGCTTTGGGAGAGTAACGCTTTTTACAGTAATAACTTGTTGTTCTGCTGCTATTATATTTTAAAGCTTTATAACCAGTGGCCAAATGACCATATTTTATGGAACTGAATTCCACAGATCAGTTTTAGATTGTGCCAAGAAAGCATTTCTTTTATTTTCTTTGCATCTACTACCAATAATTTTGGACAAACCCTAGTTAAATACTAGTGTTGTGTGACAAGAGAAGAAAGTTTTTCTCCATTTACTTTGCATTGTGTAAGATCCCGGAACAATTTGGATCTGTAGAGAATCAGGTCTTACTGACCTAGGGAGCACAGAAGAGAGAGAGATAGCTGGTTTACTGTTCTCATTCTTCCTCCAACATAAAATTTGGAATATCCACATAGGTGTCTGGAGTTTCTACGATTCAAATGGAATGCAAATGTCATAAAGATTTAAAAGATGTTTTGAACTGTTGAATGGTGATGGAAGTAATTAGTCATCTCTGTTTCCTAGTTATGAATAACAGAGTCAAAAAAGATGGATTCTGAATTAGTTTGGATTTATCTCCCACTTTGTAGCTAAATAAATTATTAATGGAATAAATTGGGGATTTAATAGGCTTTGCTTCCCCTTGCAAGCTATAACATTTTCTCCACTTTCAAATTTATGGCTAGCCACAATATGCTATTTTGCCTACATTGGATATTGTTTCAAAAACATCTTATTTTGAATAGAAAATAGTACAATATAGTTTGCCAAACTATTGTACAATATAGAAATGTAGGAGGCAATTGGAGTGTGTAAGAGCAAGAGAAACAGTGCATACATAAATCATGATGATACATATGAACCATTTTTGGCATTCATTATTTATACCATAACCCTAATTATAGTTGCTTAGAGTAGGTTCAATCATGCTAATATTTTGTGAAGTGTATTTTGAGTTCTAGGGTTAAGTTAGAAATCCAGTACTTCTTTCTGACTCACTATCTATATCAACATTATTTCTTTTACACATGACATATCTATATTTTGCTTGGTGTATTTCACAGAACACACCAAGCCAAATGGCACAGTTCACAAACAATGGCTAGATTCATACTATATGCTATACACCAAGCCAAAACCAACCAAATCACATGGTTGCCTGAAGTGTTTTTAAAAAATGAGGTTCAGGGCCATATGTATTTGAAAATTACTATGGATAATCTCCAGTGTAGTTTGCACCTAGTGCAGTTGCAGTCAATTCCTATATCCCAGGGGTCTCCGACCTTTCCGGATTTGCAGACCAGTGAGGGAGGGGGAAAGGAGGGATGGTTCCACACAAGTAGCAGGTGTGGGCGCTTCTGTGTGCAGCTCCATTTACACAAGTGGCAGGTGCATGCACAAATGGAGCTTCCTATGCAACTGGGAGTGTCTGATGCTCGTGCAAATGGAGCATCCCACGCGATTGTGAGCACCCACCACTCATGCAAATGGAGCTATGTGCGCTTGCCTGCCACTTGCACAGCCCTGTTCCAAATGTTCCACAACCTGGTAGCGGGCTGCATCCTGGACGGAATGGGACAACTCGCTGCAGCCAACTAGCTGCAGCCAGCTTACCACAGCCAACTTACCATGGCCATCTCACTGTGGCCAGCTCATCACCGCCAACTCACCACGGGACAACTTGCCATTGCCAACTTGCTGTGAGACAACTCGCTGTGGGACAATTTAACAATTCAATTCAATTATCTAAAATAAATAAAAAATATTTTAATTTTTGTCGTTCACGTCTCATTTTTTCCCTCTTTTTGCATCCTTTCTTTAATGATTCTATTCCACCATTTCCTTTATATTAGTGTAACTCTTGTCCCACAGCAAGTTGTCTCGCAGCAAGTTGGCCATGGCAAGTAGGCTGTGGCAAGTGAACCATGGTGAGTTGGCCGTGGCGAATTGTCATAGACCTGGCCTGGGGGTTGGGGACCCCTGCTTTATCCAGATCAGAACAAGGCCATGCATTGTTCAAATCAACTAGCAAAAGATGTATCTTGACAATTTCTTCTTAAATTTATCCACCTCTCATAGTTTCTGCTAGATTTATATTTTTAAGATATCTTCAAATGGCATAAAAGAGTGCATTTATCTGATATAATGGTATGTAGGATTTTGGGAGACAAGAGAAAATGTCATAAGGATTTGAAAGGTAGTTTGCTTATACAACATTCTGTTAAATTACTGTTTGAGTCCGAAGGTGAAGTTACAAAAGTGTCTGAATAGGGACCTTTCTACTTTTCAGGAGAGTAAAAGTGAGAGATGGAAGAACTTTCAATCTTGCAAGATTGTATTAATGTAACCTTGCATTGAAGATATAGCTAATACTCCTGGATATGTTTCTTGTCTGATTGAGATCTTGCAAGGCTGACATCTAAATATAAAAATTAAAACAAGTCACAGAATAAAAAGATATTTTGATTGTAATCCATAAATGTTTTTGTTATAATAGTGTTCCTCATGATTTTTTAAACCCTCTTGTCTCTGTTATTGCTACAGCAAAGTATAAATCACAACATACCTTAAGTTTTCTTAATTTCAAGTGAAGATGTCCATATGTTGGAGGAGCAGAAGTATCTACCACAGGCTTGGCTCTCAGGATCTACAGCAGGTTAAAAAAAATCCTTTTTTGTATTTAATTTTCACTTGGAATGAATGAATCAATAAGGCTCTTACTTTTAGCTTGGTGTTTAAATTCTGAAACTTCATACTTGAAGTAGAACCCATTGGTTCTTACTAGTCAACAATGATTTATCAGCTTTACCTCTCTATTGCAATTAGAATTCTAATAGTGGTGACAGGATTACAGATATTCCTTGCTTAATGACCACCAGTTCAGTGACCATAGTTACAATATCACTGAACAAATGGTATTTAGGACTCGTCGTTAAAGTTCTGGCCATTCCAGCAGCCTGTGGTCATGTGATAATGACCTGGGCATGTGTCAGTTGGGTTGCAGCATCCCACCATCATCACATGGCCGGCTTTCCACAAGCAAAGTCAAGGGGGAAGCAGGCATGGAAAGTCACTAGTCATTCCTGTAAATTGTTCCTACTTTTTCTCTTGAGGAGTCTGATTATGTAGTATAAGATTCTGGGGCTCCATAGTGTGCCTGTAGCCCCATCCTCCTGTCTTCACCCATCAGCAACCACCCCTCAATTAGCAGCACTTACGTGGTACTGCTACAGCCATTGGCACACCCACATAATAGCCCCCCCTTCCCATTCAGGTTTCTGCTGTGCCACAGCAGTCACAGTCTCCCACACCCGGCAGCAGTCAGCCTCCACCTAGCCATGCTCATACTGCACCACTGCAGCCATTTATTCACCTACCGCCTGCTTGCAAATACCCAGAACTTGCAACTTCCTGCTTTTTTTTCCTATTGAGTGTGCTTTTTGGAGGCAGACAGGAAGTCACGAGAAGGTCCTTACATAACAACATGCAATCCTTGCTTGATGATGGCAATTGCCATTGCTAAACAATGAAGTCACAAAACAGATTGCTTAGGGACAGAAATTCTGGTTCCAATTACGGTTGTTAAGTGAGGATTACTTGCATTGAAACATTGCAAGGACTTTGAACATAATATAGTAATATAATATAACATAGCATACAGTTACTCCCAGATAAATTACATATTCACTTATTCATACATTTATTCATTATTTCTGGAAAATTTTCCGACAGAAAAAAGTTTCAGAATAGTGACATATAACTAACACAGCTCTATACATGATAGCACTAGTATTAACACTTAGACTTATATTCCACTTCACAGTGCTTTACAACCCTCTCTAAGTGGTTTACAGAGTCAGCACATTGCCCCCAACAATCTAGGTCGTCATTTTACGATCTCAGAAGGGGAAAGGCTGAATCAACCTTGAGCCGGTGAGAATCGAACAGCTGGCAGTGGGAGAATTAGCTTTCAATACTGCATTCTAACTACTGTGCCACCACAACCAATGTTTACATGTTTAGTGACTCTTAATGCACTCCTAGGATTGCAACCTTAATGAGTTTGAACTGAGGTGTATGTTGCATCTAGATACATGAAATTTCTCCCTCATCATTATCATCATCATCATCATCATCATCGCATTTCTAGCCTACTCTATTTCCCAGTCTTTTCTATTTATAATGGTCACTCTTTATTACATGCCCCTATTTAGCACCTATAATAATAATAATAATAATAATAATAATAATAAAGCAACAGACAGTAAGTGCCGCCTATGCAAAGAAGCTGAAGAAACAGTGGACCACTTGGTAAGCTGTTGCAAGAAGATTGCACAAACTGATTACAAGCAGCGGCATGACAAAGTAGCAACAATGGTGCATTGGAAGATCTGCAAAAAATATCATTTGCCTGTAAGCAAAAACTGGTGGGATCATAAAATAGAGAAAGTCATAGAAAATGATAAAATTAAACTGCTCTGGGACTTCAGAATTCAAACAGACAAGCACCTGCAACATAACACCCCAGACTTAACAATTGTCGATAAGAAAGACAAAAAAGTCTGGATAGTGGACGTGGCAGTGCCTGGAGACAGCAGAATAGAAGAGAAAGAACTGGAGAAGATAACAAAATACAAAGACCTACAAATAGAAATAGAAAGACTGTGGCAAAAGCAAGCAAGGGTAGTACCAATAGTCATAGGCTCCTTGGGTGCAATCCCAAAACAACTGGAGCACCACTTGAACACCATTGGCATTGACAAATTCGCTATTAGTCAATTGCAAAAGGCGCCTTATTAGGAACTGCTTCCATCCTGCGACGATATCTGTAATACCATCAAACATCCACATCTGCCTATCCCAGGTCCTGGGTAAGGACTCGATAGGTAGACAAAATGCCAAATCCAGTCTGAACATCTGGCTGACTGTGCGATGATCGATAATAATAATAATAATAATAATAATAATAATAATAATAATAATAATAATAATAATAAAGTTGGAAGGGACCTTGGAGGTCATCGAGTCCAACCCCCTGCTCAGGCAGGAACCCTACACCATTTCAGACAAATGGCTGTCCAGTCTCTTCTTAAAAACTTCCAGTGTTGGACCTATTTATTCCTCTTAGATCCTTTATGTCCCCTACAACCATTTTCTACCTTGTAGCTCATTATGGACATAAAGCAAGTTTATACATAAACTTCCAAAACATTATATTTATAGGATGCCTATTTACCATTTGCCTTAAAAGGTTTAAGGTCTAAATAAAAACAGAATAATACTAAAGTAGAACTGTAATCAGTCTTAAGAAACAAATAGTTAAATGTTGTAGAATCAAGATGAATTAGACTGTAGTGTCATGAAAGAGCACATTTATCAGAAGATAATAGATCAACACATTGATTATAAGTTTTCTCTAAGCTTGTGGTCCCCAATGTCATACCTGAAATAAGTGATCTCCAGTGCTTATTTGTAAATGTGCTCACTTGCCGAGAAAAAGGACTGTAAAGTATTTCTGCAAATGTTAAATTTTCTATAAGCCACCTATTCCAGTGGTATGATTACTAATACTTGTAAGCTTCAAAAATAAAGGAAATCAATTTCAATGGATTATTTTTCATCTTAAGAAAGATGGGAAATCAAGGACATCTTTGAATTGAAATTCAAGGATACATTTCCTATTATCTTAATTTTAAAACAAACATCAAATTCATTAGCACTTTAGAAATGTTTATACTAATTGTAATAATGCTATTGAGGTAAAATCAATTTATTTATAGTAAAATTCTGTATCTTTTCAGCACATGATTTTTTGCATTAGACTATTTGTAAAAGGATAGTGATGTGACGTATGTATTTTCCCCCATTATGGACATGTAATGCTGTATTTCTTGGAGAGTATCATGGCAGAAAAAGTCCATTAATAAATGCCATTGATGCTATTTCATCATGGAAATTAATAACTATGTCCAAAAAACGAATATAAGAAGTACCCATAACCTTGGGAAATATTACACTTTTACTTTGGGTAAAAAAAAATATTACCCAGAATATTTTAAAGTTGGAAGGTGTTTTATGCCTAAATTCTGAGTACTGAAATTGTATTTGGTTTAAAATGTGAAATAAGAACAGCATACAATGAATACCTATAAATAGGAAGATAAGAGATAGCTAACAGACCCTATCCTTGGTAGACCGCAAAGGTATTTTCTTCTAACAAGTTTGTCTTTGTGCATAGGGCTTTATTTATCAGAAAGTTATGATTACCTTTTTCTTATGCTCTTCATAAGTAGCTTTGTCCCACTTCTGCTGAAGGTATTTATTGCCACATGGCAGAATTGGCTGGTAGGCTCGATGCATCTTAAAACAACCTAAAGTATAACTAAATCTGGAGTCCTTCAAGGAGTATGAGTCATCAGCTGGAACCTTCTTGAGAAAAGCTCTAACAACAGTGGTGTGTTTGCAGTAGGTCATGTGAGAGTTGTCATGGCATCAGTGTAGCAAAAATTGAATAGGTGGTGGTAGCACTTTAAACACTAACTGGGGGAAATGACAAATAAGTGCAAAGATTCCAAACAATCTCTTAGATTATATTGATCAGTGGAATGTACATTTCTGCGATCTTGCTTAGCAGTCCAAAATTAAGGAAAAGGAGCAAAGCAGATAATAATACGTTTGATAACACTGTAGACAAATATGGGTTTGCACAAATAAAACTCTTTAACTCCTTAGTCCAATGATGGCAAACCTTTTAGAGACCGAGTGCCCAAACTGCAACCCAAAACCCACTAATACATTTCGGGAGCCGGGTGGGTGTGGCCCATTGGCGGGATGTGGCCCATTGGGTGGGCGTGGCTACAGTGGTAACGGCAGACTGAGTGGGACTAAAAAGTTCCATCAATCAATTCCAACTTTGCAAGATCCTTTTTTTTTCTGCAAAAAGTTGAAATTGATTGAACCTTTTTTTTTGTACATGGTGACAGAGGCCTAAAGCGAAAAGGTTTTATAAAACCCAACTGAAGGCCTAGGACTGGGGCGATGGCACGTGTGCCCACAGAGAGGGCTCTGAGTGCCGCCTCTGGCACCCGTGTCATAGGTTCGCCACCACTGCCTTTATCATATAATCAGATACAAATGCATTTAATTGTCATATGTTTCTATTAACGCATCTGTATAGCAATGTAAGTGAGAGCCAGGTTGATTTAGTGATTAAGACAACCAGGAAACTATGAGTTCTAGTCCCACCTACACACAAAATCAGCTAGATGACCTCGGATCATTTTTTTTTCCTAGGAAGCAGGAAATGGCAAACCCACTTCTGAAAAACCTTGCCAACAAAACTGCAGGGACTTGTCCAGGCAGTTACCAAGAATCAGACATGATTGAACAGAAGGGAAACAAATAGTAATGTAAACTATGTAATGGTATAGCACTATAAAGGGGTTGTTTATTTTCTAAAACAATTTATATCAGATTTCCTCATGTTCTGCGTGAAAATGGTCTCAGTCAGGAACTGTTGATGTTAGAACCAGAAACTTTTGTCTTTACTTTACATTTACCTTTAAATCACAATACCTTTTATTTGTATTAGACTCCAGAGAGCTTGAAGCTGTTGAGTATTGATCCAGCTTATTGCAAATAATTATGAAAACTAAGTACCCAGAAGAAACACATTAGTTTTCTGTTACAATATATATGCAATTCCTGCCATAGTAATATCTGGAAACTACTCATCTAAGTTCATACATTAATATACCTTTGAAAATGTAAATCAGATTGTTTAGTAATGCAGCTGCTGCTGGTCTCTACCATTTCAGAAAGAAAAGAAGCTTCGTGTTTAAAGCTAAAAAATGATAACTTGTTCACTGAAAAATAGCCAGTTCATTTTCCCAATATAATAAAAACAGCTACATACATCTGAGTAAGTTGGAATTACTGTAACTGAAATGGTAATTGAAATCCCTATGCCCTCAAGTAAAACCTAAATGGGCATTTTTCAGAAAACAAATCTGTCAGTATTAGGACAGGCAAATATCTGATATTTTAAAAATATATTGAATATTATTCATTCCTCTTTCTAAGAACTTGTATATAATTTTCTTGTTACTCTTGCTTTATCTGCCACAGCTCTTTGAGGTATTTTAGGCTAAGAGCACGAGACTTCATATTAGGGTTTGTGGTAAATCATAACTTCCCATAGCCTTAACCATTTACTCAGTACCCGACTACTGAGAAGATTCTCTGATATGACTCAGGTAGGTTAAAATATTTATTGCAGATCAGAAAGAAGCCATAACAATAGTGGTTGCTTTGTGTAGAACAAAGTTTTCAGAGCCTCTATATATCTATGCTCTGAACACAAACTCATGGCTTATTCTTCCCACTTTTCTGAATTAATTGATAGTTGGAGGTTTCTTTGAGCATGAGCAAATGCAATATGTTTATCGAAAAGTCCTCTCTAGCCTGAGAACTAGTGATTCCTATTTTGTCAGCTCTACAGAGACACAGAACAGGGTTCCCATGTTGTATTAAGTCATTATGTAGTTTAGCTTTGTTGTACATAATAAACCAGCCATTGTGGTTTAAAAACAGGGTATAGCTTAAAATGTTCTGTAGACCCAAATAGTTATGGGATTTACCTATTAAAATATGAATAATATGCAAAACCTAGCTATAAGAACTAGCATGGATTCATGGTAAAACAGCAGAAGTCTAGCTTGATGTAGATGTTATTTTTACTATTTCAGGCCTAATCTGACACTTCAGCCATTACCCTAATTATTAAATTCTGAATTTCTAGATTGAGACCAGATTCCTTTTCAGTTTTGCCTCTAGTCAATCATTTTCTTAACCTGCCAAGTTTTGCCGCCTCCTCCTCTTCTCCCCACACACTGAGGGGATATTTCTATTCTGTTTTAGGTCTGGCCTGTAGCACAGGATGGCATTCCTGGCCATTATCTGTGTTCAGTTTATTTATTGCATCTGTCTGGTGGAATGAGAATGCTTTATAGGAAGAGATTAAATGCCTGTCAAGAATGCTAAGGCTGATGTTTTGTTTTTGCTCTTTCTCTCTTGTTTCTCAGAACATTAATGCTGGATTTGATGTGATGAATAGCCAAGGAATATATACGGTACAGCATATTTAGAACAGCATCTTACATTAGAACTTTCCTATCCTGGCTAATAACATTCCATAGCTGAAAGACCAGATTCACAGGGTATATCTTCAAAAGGATAGTTAATACTGTTATGTCCCGAGCCTTGCAAACGGCTCGGGCGTTTGCAGGCAGTCCCGGGCAGGTGCAAAGCTGCCCGGGACCAGACAGGCTGTCGCCAGCGCCGTGCGCATGCGCGGGTGCTGGCGCGGGAAAAGTATCACATTTACCCGGGAAGCGTCTATATAAGAAGCTGGGAGGTTTTGGGAGCTGCTGAAGCCATCTACTTGTAAGCTGAACGCTGAATAAAGGAAATTGAGAACTTCAACTGCTTCTCGTGTCTGCTTCCCGCCAAGGACCCAACACTGGCGACGAAGGTGGGATGCCTTACACCGCCTGGAAAGGAAGAAGTGTAAGCTTACCCAAGTGAGTCCTGAGCGGCGGAACGGCGTCGACTCGGCAGCTACCCACCAATCCAGTGCGCATTCGGGGGTAGGCTGGCTGATAGACCCGTCTCCTGAAGATGGCGAAAATCGGAAGGCTTTCGGAATTCGACGTCTCACATCCAGAGCAGTGGGAGTCATACGTAGCCAGGGTGGAGAACTACTTCAAGGCAAACCAAGTGAGGGAAGAGAGCTTGAAGGCTGCCACCCTGCTTTGTGTTTGCGGTCAAGACGCCTTCGACATCGCAGAAAACCTTGCAGCATCTGTTCCAGTAGAGTCTGTCAGCTACGCAGATCTGAAGAAGCTACTGAAGGAGCACTTCCACCCCAAGATGTCCGTCATCGCATGGCGCCACACCTTCGAGCAGAGGGATCAACGGCCCGGTGAGTCGGCCAAAGAATTCATCGCCGCATTACGGAAGGCCGCCAAGCACTGCGAGTTCAAAGACCTCGAAGAACGACTGAGGGACCGATTCGTGTGCGGGTTAAGGCATCGAGATCTACAACAAAGACTTTTCGCTAAAGAAGAATTGTCCTACCAAGATGCCTTAAGGGAAGTCACCGCAGAAGAAGCAGCAGGCGGCGCTGTCAAGAACATGCGGCCGATCAGAAACAGTCCAGAGGTTGCATCCGTGCACCAGGAAGACGCCCAAAGAAACTCCGAGGAGGATCCGGACGAGGAAGTCGACCGTCTCCACCCCACGACGGAAGAAAAACAGAAGGGAAGCTCTTCAGCTCCGCTCAAGTGCATCGGCTGTGGAGGTCGCCACAGGAGAACCGACTGCAAGTTCCGCTCCGCTACCTGCCGGGCATGCGGCAAACAAGGACACATTGCAGCTGTGTGTCTGGGCCGACGAAAGGTACAACCTCAGGAAGAACTGCGCCTGAAAGGTACCAGATTCCCCAGCCAGAATAGGGTAGGGTTTTGCGCTTCGCGAAGAAGCATCCTTAGGACAGGCACACACAAGCCCATTAAGAAAAAGCTGTCACTCAAGGTGAAGCTACAAGGGGTTCCATTATCTATGGAACTAGACACAGGGTCTGCCTTTTCAATTATCTCCTTGCATACATTTAGGAAGATTTGTTCCGGTAGTGGAACTCAGGCCAAGTTAAGGCCTTCTGACATTGTGTTAACAGATTTTCAAAATTCAAGAGTGTGTGTTAAGGGGGAGGCCACCCTTAACGTGCAATACAAGAGTTTTGAAGGTCCACTAGACTTATTAGTAGTAGGGGGTGAACGAACGAGTCTCATAGGACTCGATTGGTTTGAGGCCCTGGGGATACACGTCACAGGACTCAACAGTTTACAAACACTCGACCTACAGGAAGTCTGCAAAGAATTTGCAGATGTTTTCAGCCCCCAGCTGGGCACATTCAAAGGACCCCCTGTGTCCTTAAAGCTAGACCCCACTGTCACTCCCATTAGAATTAAAGCAAGAAGGGTCCCTTTTGCTTTAAAGAGTAAAATTGACACTGAGTTAGACAAACTGATTCAACAGGGAATCCTAGAACCTGTTGATTCCAGTCCTTGGGAGACCCCCATTGTCACGCCTCTAAAGGCAAATGGGGACATTCGCATTTGTGCTGACTACAAATGCACTCTGAATAAGGCATTGCAGCAACATGCCTATCCTGTTCCTGTGGTCAGTCATATTCTGGCCTCCCTCAAGGGGGGGCGCGTTTTTGCAAAGCTTGACCTAGCTCAAGCGTATCAACAGCTGCCTGTTGATGATGATGCTGCTATAGCTCAGACTATTGTGACCCACAGGGGAGCCTTTAAGGTAAAAAGGCTGCAGTTTGGAGTGAATGTCGCTCCTGGGATTTTCCAAAGCGTAA